TTCCATCCTCCTTGGGTTCTCCTTCAGGAGCAGTGGGCTGCGGAACCTCCCTTGGGTTCGGCTCCTTGTCACCTGCGTTTCTCTGTAGGAATGCAGGCGCCCTGGCTGTTGGTGCCTGCTCCTCCCAGAAGAGGCACGGATGAACCAGTCATCCCTTAGAGCTCGTCCCTCATCACGTTCCATCTCCCTTAGATACTCCCTCAATGCTTGGCTGGAAGAGCTGTGCAACCTCTGCCGGGATTGGCTCCGTATCGTGCTCGGTTCTCTGAAAGAAACCTGGAATTCCTGCTGACGGCGCTTACGCCTCCCTGAGAGGGCACGGATGCGCTGTTTGGTCCTTCGGCCCTTGTCACGACCAGTGCTTCGAGCCCTGCTCCGCTGCCGTCTTCTGCTCCTTGAGTGGTTGTAGCCCTGGGCCTGCTGGACCCTGGTGTGGTCATCACGATGCCTCCTTGGATACCTGCTTCGGCTCTTCTCTTGGGCCCTGCCACGGCTGCCTCCACAGCTGCCTCTGCGGCTGCCACCAAGGCTGCCACCGCGGCTGCATCCACGGCTGCCTCCATGACTGCCACCAAGGCTACCTCCACGGCTACCTCCACGGCTGCCACCAAGGCTACCTCCACGGCTACCTCCACGGCTGCCACTGAGGCTACCTCCACGGCTGCCACCAAGGGTGCCACCAAGGCTGCCTCCACGGCTGCCTCCACTGCTGCCACCACGGCTGCCACCACAGCTTCTGCTGTAAGACTTGTGGTGCTGGCGTCCTGGGGAATTATGCTGACCTCTTTCCGCAGAGCACAACCCAGCTGGCTCTCCTTGAGTATGCCTGGCAGAGCTGATGGACTCCTCTACAGAGTGCACCTCAGAGTTACTGTCTCCCACCATGTGGAATGTATGTTGGAAAGGTGACTGGCAATTCAGGCCCTCCGCTCTTCTGTGGAACCACTCCACCATGCAGTAAAAACAGAAAGGGTGCCAACGCCAGCTCATGGAAGGTTGGTCATTAATGCCAGCCCGGCAGATCGGGCAACTTAGGTTCTCCGAAGCACCTGGACGGGCAGCCCGGGATACCTGGCTGGTGCTGGCAGCAAGGGAAGAGGTGCCACTTTCTGCCAAGTCTTCCTCTGAGGCCATTTTGCCCTGCAAACCAAAGAGATAAGGTGATGTGTTCCCTGGTGCTGGGGACACAATCTGCCGCCAGCAGCAAAGCTACTGAAGTTGAGCCTTAAAGAACTGCCCACTCTGCCTCAGGCAGCATTTGGGCTGCCACCCCAGGCACCATCCTGGGGCAGATGAGTGACACTTGAGTGTCTTGGCATGTTCTAGCTTTTGAGGCAAGATGGTAACTGACCTCTCTGATATGTGCAGGCAGGAGCTGGGAGCCTGGGAAAGGAACTCGTCACCTCTCAGCAGCTGCAGACAGAGCCTGAGTGCATGGCAGATTGGGACAAGCACCACACCTGTCAGTGTGCTTGTCCAGCAAATCTTCTCTGTGCCCTCAGAAAACACACAATGGGATAGGGATCCTTTTTCCCCCCACCTTCAGATGTCTGTCCCCAGTGGAGGAGGCCAGACAGTGTGGCCTTTCAGAGCTTCTCCAAGCATCCAAAAGGCTTGTTGTCACACATGTCACAATGACTCCCTGGTGACATCGTGGGGCTTTTGGGGACCACACCCAGAAGACAGAAACTCCAGCCCTAAGGAATGAAAACTTCTAAGATAAATCTTACACAACTGCTCCACTGTCAAACAAAATCCTGATGCCATATTTTTCATATAAATTCACAGGTTACACTGATCATACTCAGCCTTATGCTTTGTTTTAGAAATAAACCAGCTCAAGGCATTTTTTACTCCTCAGTCAACTTTGCAGGTCAAAAGAGGTGATACTCCACTGGAGCAGTCTGTCCAGTGTGCAGCTCTCCAGTAGAGATAGACATAAGTAGAGATGGACATACTGGAGAGTGTCAAGTAAGGGTTCACAAGGATGATGAAGGGTTTAGAGCATCTCTTCTACAAAGGCAGGGCTAGGAATGTTGCCTCCAGGCTGTTCAATCTGGAGAAGACTCCATAGGGGATGTTTTCCAATGTATACCAATAACTGAAAGGAAGGTACAAAGAAGACAGAACCAGGCTCTTTTCAGGGGTGCCCAGAATATAGAACTTCTCTCTGAATATTGGGGAACTTTTTTTACTGTGAGGGTGACCAAGCACTGTCAGGATGCTTGTGGACTCTCCCACCTTGGAGATGATACTCAGAAGCTGTCTGGCTGTGGCTATGGGCTAATTGGCACTGCTTCCTGGTAGAAATCTGATGTCCCCAGTGTCCCTACTGCCTTCTGCTGTAATTCTGGGCTCACAGCCTGGCTTTCATCTTGATCCCTACTCATTTGATTCTCTTTCTGTACTTCACCTTAAGTGCTGCAGGAGCTCCCCTGAAATGGGCTCTCGGTTGCCTTTCATTCCCTGGAGGAAGCTCAACTCCCCACTGCTGTTTCCTGTGCCTCCCATAATAAGCTGGGACTGGCTCTTCTGGGTTTAGAGCTCAGCCCTTGTCATGGAGTGAAACAAGTGCCACAGCTTGTCTCAGTTTTGGTAGATCAACAAACTCTTGTTCACGGAAGTCTGATAAGCCCAGCTGAATTAGTCTTGCATTTGCTTCAGCAAAGATACCACTTTAATTTGAGAACTTCCGTGTACTGTCAGTCAAAAACAAAGCACAAGGGTGGGACTGGTTGCAAGGCCTGGTATATGATTCAAAGTGGAGCATTTTGTCCTAACCTTTAGTACCCATCCCAACTGACCATACAGACTTTTAAGTATCTTCAGCTTTCCAGGAGAAAGAGTTTAGTTGTTTATAAAGCCAATGTCATCCTTGCCTGTATCAGCAATAGTGTGGCCAGCAGGAGCAGGGCAGTGATTGTTCCTCTGTACTCAGCACTGCTGAGGCCACACCTTGGGTGCTGTGTCCCGTTCTGGGGGGCTGGAGTGAATCCAGAGAAGGGCCGCAGAGCTGGGGAGGGGTCTGGTGCACAGATCTGATGAGGAGCAGCTGAGGGAATTGTGGTTGTTTAGTGCAGAGAAAAGGAGGCTTGGGGGGAGCTTCATTGCTCTCTTCAAGTACCTGAAAGGAGGTTATAGTCAGGTGGGGTTGGTTTGCTCTCCCAGGCAAATAGTGGCAGGATGAGAAGACACAGCCTCAGGCTTGTGTCAGGGGAAGTTCAGGATGGACAGCAGGAACCATGTCTTCACTAAGCACTGGAACAGATTACCCTGGGGAGTGGTCAAATGACTGTCCCTGGAAGTACTTAAAAGATGTGTAGATGTGGCACTTAGGGATGTGGTTTAGTGGTGGACTTGGCAGAGCTTGATTAACAGCTGAACTTGATCACCTTAAAGGTCTTCTCCAACTTAAACTTCCGTAGTTCTAATGAAATATATGTGTACATGTAGATTAAATTTCCCTACCTGCCTTTTAGAATTATCTAACTTAGTGCTGTGTTCACAATACGTTTGGGAAATTTCCTTTATATCATTTAGTACTTACTGTGCTTGTAACACCTTTCCCTCTTTATGTGCCTTTGTCTCTCCCCTCTGTACCCCCATAGCACACCCCTTTGTGTAATTGCATTGGATCTATTTTCAAAGACCTTTTTTTCTATTAAACCTGCCCAAAATGAGTATTTTACTTACTTAACTGATGCTTGCTGCTTTCCAGATTAATCTTCCACTGAATGCAACATACCACAGTTTTTTATGTGTTCAAGTATTTTACAATATGTTCTTCTGATGCTTTTAGTGATTGTAATTGAATTTAATCCGAAATTATTGAATATATATCCCATCTGAAGTCTTTTAGGTGTGTTCTCTGGGAGGTTTTAAAAAAGCTTATGACTGTAACATTAGAGAACTGTCTGCTGGTGCAGGCTTTAAATAAATTATTTGATCTCATAAAAGCAGCGTAAACATTTATTAACAAATCATGGCATGGGCTGTTCTTTTCAACACATTTTATCTTTATGCTTGTTGGAAGTCAAAGAAACTTGTATGTGAATGTTATAGCATGCTGTGGCTGTGTTCCTCCTTTCCACTCTTGCTTTCCCATCCTTGAAGCAGCATGTTTCTGAGACCCACAGCTGTCCCTTTTCAGTTGTAATTCAGTTATAATTAGCTCATTATAAGCATTGCCATTTTCTGTGCTGTCAGCAATGTCACTGCTGCAAAAGCAGATTTTCAATAGTACCTGTGCTGTCAGGAAGCTCTCAGGCGCTATATATGATGCTCTTTGCAGGATGATGAATTCAATTATTTGTTATTATCCATTGGTTATAGAGCTTTAGGGAATAAAGAATTCTACCTGAATATATATATTTCTTTTAAATAGTAAATTTTAGAGTGTTCTGCAGATTAGAAATTATATCTATCTATCTATCTATCTATCTATATATATATATATATATATATAATGGTCTTTATTGCATTTCTTAATTGAAGAATTTTTTTGAGCAAGAGTTAACTATTTCTTACCTTCTTTTGTATAACCTTTAATTAATTCAGAAGTATTTGAATGGAAACTCACTAACAACAAGGAGTTTCTTCAGTTTTCCAGTATTTGTACTGAAAGTTAGCTATTGCAGTTAGAATCCAGCTTAGTTCTGGCAGGTCACATTTACAAAAAGCATCAAGCTCTGATGATGTTATTCCCTTTTAAAGACTGACAGCTGGAATTGTAAGCCTCATCTGTTCCTGCTCCGGCTGAGATCATTTGGCTTCCCTTTCAGCCGGGGAAGAATTAGTTGTGCAGTGTGACCTGTGGGCTGTCACCTCTGCTTCCCGCACTGCTGAGAGTCCAGGTTCCCTTGAGGACAGCAGTCCCTGTCACCTGAGTGCAGCAGCACAGGTGTTCAGTGCACGCTCTGGGTAGGAATGTGTAAGCTTAAACTTCCTAAGGATGACACCACCATGTCACTGATTGTTCTGTTTCGTGATATTTTTCAGAAATGGAAAAATTTCAGGGTTCAGAAGGCAAGAAGGAAGATGAAGAAAAGAAATATCTTGATGTTATCAGCAACAAAAACATAAAGCTGTCAGAGAGAGTTCTGATCCCTGTCAAGCAATATCCAAAGGTACTGTAAATCTAGTCTAACACTTGTTTAATATTTATTAATAAAATTATGAAAAAGTTGCACACAACCATTTTTATTGAGTCATAATATGCAGGCTTTGTGGTAGTCAAAAAAAACCCAGTCCTATATAAATGTACCTGTTACGTGTTAGCTCTTACATGTTTTAGCTTCTGTCTTGGGGCCTTCCAGAAAAGCAATTAAAGGGAATGAAATTTTTTTTTCAAATTCAGGTAGGTTTTGATCTTATGCAAACTGCTGACTTTTTTCTCAGTTTGTTTTTTCTTTTTTTTTTTGTTTTTTTACATATATCATCCTTTTATAAAATAAAATACCATTTGCTCAAGAAAAAAGGTTCCAGTAACTCCAAAAAAAGCTTCCTCATAGAAGAGGTGGGGGATTTTTTGTGGTGTAGTAAGTTTTAAAAGATCAAGTGTCAGGATTACTGCAGGCTGTTCCTGACAATGTTCCTTGCTGTTGATAAAAATCAAATGTTTTAGCATCTAAGACTTTCTTATTAGTTCTCATTGCTACATACTTTAATGCAGAAAAAGGATTTTATTTCTTGCAAAATTTAGCTGCTCATGGGAAGTTCTTGGTTTTATATTTTATAAGAGATTATTGGGTTTTTAGAACTTAGGTGTTTGTTTGGTTTTCTTATACAGTTTTTATTTTTCATAAACAGTTATTCCAATAGTATTCATACTGAAATTATAAACATCTCTGTCTCCAGTGTATTTTTTCCTTGCTGATTTGTTATCACATGGTACATGGTTCACCATTAGCCTTGATTACACTTTGAGCTTTTTTCTTTATACTTTCATCAGAGCAATAAATTACAATTGGTAAAAAGCTCATCAAACAAAATGAAAGGTGTGAAAAAATTGAGATTCAGTGATTCCAGTTGACACTTACCTCCTGAGTAGTGAATATAAAACTGAGATAATGTAATAATCCAAATGTTAAAGACCTTAGAAACACATACAGTGCTATAAGGAATTACTTTCTTACTGCATAGCCTGAGGTGCTTTGCCTTGATTTGTGGTATTTTGTGTAAATGCTGTAGGTGACCTGAAGTTCTTATTCAGGATGTAATAGTGCTGTAACTTTGTAACAGCAGTGTGATAATTATTCAGAATACTGTTTGATGAAGGTAGTAGAATAAAAGACAAACTATTTAAAAGACAAAACACTATCATCTCTCCAATATAGCACCTGAATGTGATTAAATTAGCTCATTTACTTTAATGAATGTGCCATATTAATGAATAGTAAAAGATATAAGGCATTTTTTACAGCTTTTTAGTGGTGGAGCAAAAGAAATCAGTGTGATGGAAATGAAATACTCATTCAGTAATGCAGAATAATCTCTTGCAGGGTTTCTGTAGTTGATTTCCTAGCAATATTTTGTGCTTGGCATGGAATTATTCCCAGAACTTCAGGTTTCCTGATACTGTCTCTAGGAACCATCTTTCAAGGACTGCATTTACACTTAGTATCAAGCAGCTGATTGCTGTGATCTAGTGTCTTGTCTTTTCTGGATAATTGTATACATTAGGCAAATCAGCACACAGCAGTTGCTTCAGCTTGCTTTATAAATAATGAAAAAAAAAGTAGAAAATATTTGGGAAGATTAGTTTTATATATTTGGTAGAATATGTTAATAATACATTGATCAGACTTGTATTTATAAACAGCCAAGACAATTACAATATTATTTCACTTAGGAGTAATTTCTCTTTGAAAGATCATTATTATAAATCATTTATTCATTGTTTGCTGATAAGCTTTTTTGGGCAGTGCTAGGTAAGCAGGATTCTGTAAATATGTAGAAAGTGTCCAAGTGTATAAAATTGTTGAAAAAAAATTCTGCCCAGTTAAAAACCATGTAAAACAACAGTTTACAGGCTCTGTGTTTAGGAATGAGCTCTTGGAAGACATTTGCACTTACTTTAACTTCATGTAAAAACACAAATTGCTCCAAGGGAACCTTTGGCCTAAAAACTTATTATGGTCTGTAGGCTAAGCTTCAGTGACAGCTGTAGAGCCAGCAGCAGCATTTTAAGGTTTGAGCAAAAGTTAACACAATAGACTTCTAGTGGCTAAATTGTTCTTGAAGTTGCAGAATAAGCCTTATGAAATTCTCTACTCAAGTGTCCACAGTCTGGTGCAGACAACAGGAAAAGAATATGAAAGGCTGTGATTAGCAACAGCTTTCTTATGTTACCAGCTGGTAAAGACACAGGCCTCTTTCCTCTGCTCTGAAACAGGGATTTAAAATAGAGACGGGGTGTTAGTTGTTACTTCAGAATTGATCTTTTCAGAGATTAATTATCTTAAATACCAGCAGCCCTGGTAAAAACAGCATCTCATTTACACACACTCCACTATGCAGCAGATATTTTTAATACAGTCAAAATTTCTCTTGAAACAGTGATACAATGTCTTTGTTGATCCATCTTTCTGTCCCATAATGCCTTTTTTTTAAACTTTCATGATGTGTGAATTCTAACTAAGACTTGCATGAAAATACTTCAGGGTTTGTTTAATAAGACTTCAGCACAGATCAGTGTGAATTTATTTCTGATACATCAGATATGGGAAAAGAGTGGGTGTTTAAAAATTTTAAAAAACCCACAAAAATCTGAAATTATCTTGTTGCTGAAAAACAAAAGCGATGGTTTAGACACTTGGTGGGAAACATTGTCATTTGCATGGCAATACAGATTTTTGCCATTTACTTCTTTGCAGTTTGGCTTTTGCTGTTTACTATCATTCCTACCTTTTTCTGTGGTAACTTGTTTAAGCAGCATCTAAACTGGGCTTTGCAAATTTGTTCCTTTGCACAGTTTAAGAATTTGAGAGCTTGTTTAAAGCCTCAGCTTCATGTAGCACATAAAATAGGAAGTTCTTGTTTGCAAACTTGTCTAGTACACATTGTAAATTAAAATATTGCTGACTTTGTTGAAATTTTGCCCTCATTATCCCTACCTTCTTATCCCTCCTAAATGGTTTCAGCCATTTAGGAATAGCTCAGTTTGTTAATTTCTTTTGCTTTCTGTGAGTGCAGATATATGAAGTAGCTGACGAGTTAAAAGTAAACAGTATGTGTATAAAAGTCTTAAATACTGCAGTGCATCTGTCTTGGTTTGACCTCAGCCAGCAACCAAGCCCCCTGCAATACTCACTCACTCCTGCACCATGGGATGGGAGAGAGGTGGAATAGTGACAGTGGGCTGAGACAAGAGACTTTAATAGCAAAAGCAAAAGTTGTGCATGGAAGAGAAGCAAAATCAGGAATGTCTTCACTGCTTCCCATGGATAGGCAGGTGTTCAGCCATGTCCAGGGAACAGGGCCCATCATAGCTAATGGTGACTTGGGAAGACAAATGCTGTCACTCCAAATGTCTCCTCCTTCTCCCACCTTTATGTGCTGGGTATGACCCTGTATGGTTTGGGATATCCCATTCCTATTTGGGGTCAGCCGTGTGTCTTCCCAGCTTCTTGAGAACCCCCAGCCTCCTTGCAGGTCAGCTGGGATGAGGAGCAGAAAAGCCTTGACACTGTAAATGCTGCTCAACAATATCAAAAACTTCTGTATTATATGAACATTATTTTCAGCACAAATCCAAACACAGATCCAGACTTTGAAGAAAGTGATCTCTACCCCAGCCAAACCAACATGGCATCTGTTACTATTTTAAAGACTCAATGCCAAATATTGTTAGTTTATATTGTTTTATGCTTCATCAACTCCTGACTTTAAGCAAATAAATTAGACAAACTCAGCAGTGCTAAAGAATTCATTGTGAAGGGTGAACTTTTCTTTTTTTATTCTGTCTTTTACATCTAATTCAGACAAGTAGCATGATTTTTATTTAGCATTCTCCTTCTTTCATGTGTTGTTTTTCTGAAACCTGATAGTTGCTGTTGTGCTTTCAAAGCAACTGCTGTAATATTAATCATCTGCAGGTGATTTGTGTGTTTTGTTCACTTTCAAGTAAGATATGAAGAATAAGATATATTAATATGTCCATTAAATAGAATGACAAGAAAATAGAAAATTGCTAAGGGAAGTGGGACCTGGGCTGTTAGTGAGCTGAATGAGTAGCCATGACTTCTCTCTGTGATTTATATTGTTTTAATGAAATAAGTACCTTGTTGTTGCATAAGGCAGGAGGAACATTTGATCTGTCCCTAATCCTGTAGATGTTTCAAGAGATTATAAAAACTCCAGCATTTTTATTAAAAGGAATAAGAGCAAAGTATCTAACTACAGAATGGAGATTTTTACTTGCCTTGCCAGTGTTTTTTCCTCCTATGCAAGACAAGAAAAACCTTTATACTTGGCAAGATTCCGGAATTTAGACTGATGCCAAACTAAATAAATAAAATAAAGATATAATAAGATAATAAAGATTCCACTGGTTCAGTATTTCAACTGAGTTCTTTAAAGAGAAGCCTGAACATTGGAAGGCAGAAAATTATTAAATACACGAAGTATGTTGTACTGAGATTGATCCTGCAAATAGTTGTATAAATGAAGAATGCTTTCTCATATGTCTTGAAAGATTTCTATCCCTACCTGGTCTCAGTGAAATAACTGAACATGCATCTTTGTAACAAAATGATGCCTTTAACTTTATAAATGTGTGGGAAAGTTTCAAATTTCCTTTTTAGTTGAGGCCAATTAAATGTTCAAATTGAAGTGTAACTGTCACTCAGAATCTCTGATCTACACAACACCAGGAATAATAGGGGCAACAACTTCTTTAGGTACTGTGTTTAATCTGGCATTTATTAGTATTTGATTTTTCCATTAAATGCCAATTTCTGGAGTCACTGATATACAGAAAATTATTCCAGAAAATTTATATAAAGTGTCCTTAAGATTCATAAAAATCTTATGAAAAGATATTGTAATAAATTCTATTCAGTGATGAAATACCAGGCCCTATTGAGCACTCAGATATTAGAAGAGGGGTCTTTTAAGTTTTCTAATA